AATGGAATTTTTTGACCATTATTTATTCATGTGCATTTTGTTATTTCTTTTCTAGTTTCTGACCAATTCTTAACTCTATTTATTATAATTATTTTATGTTGTAACGAAAAAGGTCTTAGAAAATATTACCCTAAGACGATAATAAATCATCTACATCTATACTGCAAAAAATTCCATTAAAACTATAGTTATTTTCGACCTTAACTATGTTTTCTTTTGGTTTTAACCCAAAATATAGTAATAGCGATGTGCATGTAAGGTTATCATGATTGATATTTATAATAATACTTACTAGAAAAGTAAATCTTCCGCTATAATTTGTTCAATATCCAAATCTTTCACCATAAATCTTTTCAATAAATGACTATAATTATCTCATTTATGCGATTATAATTACAAGTACCAAGAATTTTTTTCTCAGTATATCTATCAATTCACATTTAGTTCATTGATGTCGGATATAATTTGCGCGATAGTAATTGCACAAGCCAATTAGACGTTAAAATTCCAGTTAGTCATTAAAATAATAAGTGATGGTGCTGATGATAATAATATTGATAATAGTAATAAACATAATGGTGATATTAACAATACAGTATATGTGATGACACAGTGATATTTATAATAATAAAATATCTACGTAATATTGATAATTATGATAATATAATAAAAAAGATTCTAGTCGCGTCCGGTTGTTAAGTCTCGGTGGACGGCAAGCCATAATTATTCGGGCAAGTCCCGAAGGGGAAATACGCAATTTTTGTCGAAATAATAACGCTCTTGGTAAAACAAAGGGCCCTGGGGACAGCCTACGACGTCGAAAGTCGTCGACTCGCCCTCGAGTTTATCCTACTTCAGGGCTTCGAGGTTTCGTCGGTGTTTCTCGAAACACGTGTGGGCGGCGGGTTCCACGATGATTCTGCGTTATCGAATCGGGATTTTTCTCCGTCCGTCAAGGTTTCGATCGGTTCTCGGAACGCAAACACCGTGATATCGCGAGACCTTGCGGCTCAACTCCGACGCGCCCCGGGTCCCTTCCTCGCAGTTCCTCGTCTTTCTCACGTTCTCCTTCCTCGTCGGCGTTACCGCAAACTCTCTCTCTCTCTCTCTCTCTCTCTCTTTCTCTCTCTCTCTTCGTCTCCTCTCTTTCTTCCAATTCTCTCCTTTCCTCGTGCTCTTTTCCTTCACTTATTTCTCCAGCTATGCCTCTCGACGGGTTAAACCTTGACTAAGGTTCCGTCCACACCGCGTTAAGTTGCGTGGAATTTTCAATATCCGAGCGACAAGATGTACGAAATACGAACGCACATGTTTGTATGTATTGTTCATCGTTAGATTTCTATTACGCATTCTCCCTTTCATTTTTCCCTTATTTACACATACTTCTTGTTGCATTTTCTCTATTTATTTATTCTTATTTGACATTCATAAGCTGTACTGTGAAATTATTCTTCGAATTTCTCGGATTAAAATTTCACACAAAACGAGCGAAAATGTCACTCAAAGCGATGACGCAAATATCGCCACTAGACATTGCAAGAATGAATGTTTAACTTGAATTTAAAGTAGTTTTTTTACCCGTACAAATAAATGTTTCGATCGATTAAAGTGAATGTGTTCTTGCAACGATGGTGCATATCAGATATGTTTTTCTATTTCGAATGGAAGTATTCATCCCTACGATCTAGAATAGAGAATTCACTAAAAAGTCAGTGAAAAATTGTTCGAACACTCAGCTGTCACTCCACTTCTCGAGTGGAATTTCACTCAGAAATATTTCATGAATATAATATGTTCTATTATTCTCTTTTATATCAGTCTCTCCGTGACAACTATAAAAGCTGAACGATAAATCATGACGTCGTCGGTTTGTGACGTCTCCTACCGTATTTTCTGTATCTTCATGCTTGAAATATCATTGTTCATACATTGTGCGACGGTGTAGGTGTAGCCTAAAGATGAACCGCGCAGTATACCTTGAGATATGCGCCGCTTTTAAATTACATTCTTACAAACGAAGCGTTCCTTCACGTTCCGTTGTAAAAGTAAAAGTACCGCCTTTTGGAGCGCTCGTTTCTTTCGCTGCTTTCCGAGCAGTTCGCTCATGACAGATCTCATACCGAACGAGAGACAATTTTTCCTACCTAAAATATAGATCAATATAGATTAGTACAGGCAAATTTAACACGAATGAGAGCCCGATCGGGAAACCAAGCTTGCCGTTGAGAATCCCGTCGGAAGAAGTCGTCGCGGTCTGTCTCCGTAAATTTTCGATCTCCGCTTCCTTTCGTCCGTGACGCATCACGAAAAGAGACCGTGAATTTCGCGAAAGAAAAAGGGAAACAAATTCTGCCGGGGGTCCACGAAGATCCCGCGTGATCGACGACGACAACAACAGGGAGAAGCCACCGCGTGCGCCGTATCGAGCCCCGATTATTATGCCGGCCAAGCGCGAAGTCGCGGACCGCAACGCCGCGGTCGCGTTACGTACGCTGCGATATATACACCCCTTCGTTTCCTATCCGCTTGTTTTTATTCGTTGTGTGAGGTAAATGAACCGATGAGACGGTTAAGGGCATTATGAGAGAATATAATGTAAAACTTCGTCGTAAGGAGAATTCTTCTACGCGATTAACATATGAATTAAAGAGCCCGCGATATTATCTGAGAGTAATATAATACTAAAAGCATTAAATCTACATTACTTTGCATTTATTACATATCCTTATATATTATCTTTAATCTTACATATTTGAAAAGATTTTTTAAGTTTTACAATATATAGTATATTCTTTTTATTATGTGGGGAGAGATCTTTGGATTTTTTTCGATTATCCTACGATTAAACAAACAAGAAAAACAGTGCAAAATTAATCACCGTTAGTTTCAACTATATTCTGTGAAATGATATCACAGCCAAGTTCAGATATGTCGATTGGAAGACCACTAAACTCGGTTCGCAGAATAACCTGACCCTAATTTTTTTCGCATAATTTAGTGACAGGTTAAAGATTGGCACGAGATCTGAAGTGATTTGAAAAATTCAAAGTTTATACTGTAAAAATAGGATTATCAAATAAATTACTCGTTGATTTGTTATTTTAGTTTTTACACGAAGTAAACTCAAACGAAACTTCAACGATGAAAAATCAAATGACGTTAATAATATAACCGAAGGCATTTGCAAACAGAAATTGCCACTTCATCTCCAACTACTACATACGTTAGACGAAAATCATAGTCTGCCCGACAGAATTCAGTATTTTAAAACCGAGAAACATGGTTATGTCGGCTTACCATTATGTCAGTTTTGATGCTTTTCCTCCACCGATGGACCTGGACGTTTTGCATAATGAATATTCAATAAAGTTGACAAATTAAAATCGTACTCTACGCTGCATTCTATCGTCGTTTTTGTTATTGTTACATTCTAAACGGTTCAATACATGGGCAATTTATTATTTCCTAACGCGAACATCGGTAGAATTCGAGGAGCCTTGGCTCCGTTGTTCTGACCAATGCGAATTATTCAACAAAACGATTATATTCATCGACATGAAATCAGTGGTACATAGAAAAACGTAAACAGTGCTCTTTAAATAGTAAGAAAATGGCTGATTGGTCGGTCAACTTCCTTATTGTTTGAGATTTTTCTGTGCGTTCCCGGCTTAAACGTCTGTGAATATCGCAAGTGAAAATCCAACGTAGAGGAAACATTTTTATTTCACACTGGAACCGCGGTCGTTCTTATCTAAAAATGCAAACGACCAGAGTGACCGGCGACGTCAGGGACGCGTCCACGCGTATCTCGGGCTTTTACCTCGCCCCGCTCGCCGGCGGCGGTCGCGATTCCCTCATGCGTGCGTGTACGCGCGCGCGTCTCAGGGCGCGCGGTATGCATGCAAGTTCATAGGGACGACGGGCACCTCTGCCCCGCGCCTTTCTCCGGTTCGTGATGCTGGGCTCCCTCGTATCGTTCTCCTCTCCCTCTCGCCCCAGGGCTCTTCGTCCCTTCTCTTTGCTTCCCTCCTCCCTCCCCTCCCCCTTTCGTTCCATCAACGACCGCCACAGCGGCTGCCTCTGCGCACTTTTCGAGCCAGTTGGCAGACAACCGCCGTCCGGAGAGCGCATTCGACGTCGCTCTCCAGATACGTCCTCACGCGTTGCGGCGCCATATCCTCGAGCTGCGCGACGATGCTGTAGCGTGCGCGTCGCCCACGTGCTGTTACCCTGGACGAAGAACTCTCTCTCTCTCTCTCTCTTTCGAATCTTCGCGCAATCAAGACATTAGTGCCGATCGTCGTCACGACACGTGCGTCCCTTTCCACGTGATTTGCGCCTCGATAATCGATATCCGCGCGGCTGATCGTCGCAAGAGGAGAGAGAGAGAGACCGAGCGAGAGAAGGGTGACCAAAGAAGGGGTAGACAAAGGAAACGAGGCGGGAGAGGGAGAAAGAGTTGCAGGTAGAAGAGGGGGGGACGGAGAGAGAAGTAGGAAAAAAGCACGCGGCTCTCGGTCACCTGCGTGCCGCTTCGTCGGGACGCGTTAGAATGTAACGAGTGCTCCGGGCGGGCAAACGTGCGGGAGAGAGCGTAAACATGGCCGTGTAGCGATCGGTCGATCGGTTTGTCCGTTTGCTGGCGCGAGAGAACGCACTAATTTCGCGTAAACAGCCGCGAGAGAGAGAGAGAGACGCGTAGCCCGCAATGAATCGTGCCATCATCGCGTAGAGATGGTAGTGTATTCGAGCAGTTCGAAGTAGAAGTGTTCGTTAGTGTACTGCGAGACGGAGGAAGAGAGAGAGAGAAGGGGTTCATTCGCAATCGAGCAGCCGCCGGTATCGTCCAGGTTTTCCCTCCCTCCGCCTCCTTTGCTGCACCGTCGGTCGTGCGAGAATCGCCATTTATAATGGATATGCTACCGCATGGATCGCTCATGTCGGCCAAGATCAGCGATATCATGACTTACCATTCGTCCTTTTACTCGCCGCCGCCCACCGAAGCGTAAGTAATCGAAACGATTGAATTCTTGTTATCGCTTCGCAGCTGTTCGTTTTCGTCTTCCGAAAGAGAGAGTGAGAAAGAAAGACGGAGAGAGAAACTGTTCGCCGGAGTAGTGTCGAATTGCGGAGTATTCGTGACTTCCTCTTGCGACACGATGTGCGTCTTGTTAGAGCAGGTTGCCTCGTTAGAGCAGTTTCTTTCGCGGGAGGAATCGTTCTCGGAGATAAGATGTTCACGAGCAGCTGAGTAGCTGTTCTGTAAAATGAGCGGAAGTTCGCCCAAAGCGATAATAACAACACTACGTGGAGAATCACGAAAATGAATATTTATCTTAAATTTGAGTGGTTTTTTTTTTCATTTATGAGAGTGAATTCTTTAATCAGATTGAATTAATTTTTGCGACGATGGAGTAGATTATTTTTTTCGTTTTGATTGAAGATTGAATATCACGCCCTATTTTTCGAGTGGAATTTTGCTCCGAAAAATTTTGGAAGCATAAGATCCTATATTAGACTAGATATTTGGTAATCGAGACTTGTGCGAGTTAGAACTGGATGGATGGACTAATTGGCTCGCTTTGTCCCGATTGAACAAGTTTTAATCTCCAATTCGCAATCCTCGATCTCCAATACCTGGTCTAGTACGGTCTTAAGTGCAGAATACGCAATTTATGATATTCGAGCGGCGCATAATCATGATTATACTCTCTATTGCGTTTCCCGCCTTGAATAGAACAATTAAGCGTTTCGCTGATAAGTGATGCTTGTCTGTGTAACTTGAAGATCGTTTGAAGATCAAATACGAAAGCGATTCTCGAAATTTCAGCGCTCTCGAGTGTTTCCTCGCTCATTTCCGTTCCATTTCATTTACACGAGAGTCGACTGAGAAAAGTAGTCGAGGCCGCGTTATCTGCCTTTTGGCCGTGGACAAGATTACGATTGCATATCACGCGAGAAGACTATAGTGTGTGTGTAGTGACTATCGTGAATTACTAATAAATATCATTGAGAGAATAATGAGGTCCGGCGTTGGTAAACAGTCACGATCAATTCCCCGGATTTATTTACGTGCTGGTCTTCCCCCATCGTCGAACTGAATCTTCTCAGATTTATCGATAAATATTTCCATTTAATTTCTATTAAATCTTCGTGATTTAACGCTGCTTTTTGATTAACAAAGTTAATGCCGCGAGAAAATATCGTTTTAAAACTTCTCGTTTTGCCAGGAAGAGCACACTGAGAGAAGAAAATAATATCACTAAAGTTACTTTCGGCGTCAATCTTATCTTCTTATCGTTTTTTCTAATAAAAAAGTAATAATAGTAATATGTGTATGAAATAATTATCATTAGCACGTAATAATATTTACTATTAAAACGGTTCTTCTGACTACAATTCTTTCATTAAATGCGATTATCCAGAAAAATTGCTGCTGTATCAATAGAATTGTTCAATAGCAATCATAATTGGAATAAATCCTCAATAGCAATATTATTGAAATCAATATTCGAATTATTAAAACAATTCAATCAAGAGAGAGACAAATATTTAATATTTGTATTTGTAACTAAATTTAAAAAAGAAAGGGTATTGTAATTAAAATCATTAATGTGAAAGAATTATAGTGAAGAAAACCATTTTTCTAGTAAACGTTACTATAGTGTCAGTGGTAATAACTTTAGTTATATATATTGCTGCTACTATTTTTGTGGTTAACACCGTAAAAGAGATATAGTTGAGACCGAAAATAATTACAATTTTTCTCGGTGTGCATAATGTATTAGTTTCAATAATACTGCTATCGGATCAAGATTTATCTCAATTATTAACACCGTCGACCAATTCTATTGATATAATAATTTTTTTTTTTTTCATGGAATTATAAATACAAAATATTTTGCTCTTGGTGCAGCCTCGCGATGCAATTATCGCAATTTTCCGTGATCCTTTTTTGTTTCCTTAGGAAAATGAGGGATATTTATGGGGATAATTTTCGACAAAAAAACAATGTGAAAGAGAGAGAGGGGGGGGGGATAATTTCTTCCTAACGGGTGGTTGCGAAATTCGCGTGCTGCGTCGCGCGAGCAGGTTTTCTCGCTCGGAACATTGCGAATATTCATGATCGCGAGGTTACCGCGATGTCAAATGCCGCGTGTGCTGGTGATATCGTCGCGTGCGTGTTCGTGGTGTAATAGTGTGCGGTATGTGTGTACGGTATGTGCGCAGTGGACGACGGAAGTGCGCGTACCCGACGTTGATATCAAAGGATGCAGCGTTATCGCAAGGGAAATTGTGAATAGTGAGGAGAGAGGGGGGGGGGAGAAGTAGCTTGTCTCGGCACTCTCTCATTAACTTCACCGTTGATCCTGAAACGAGATATCGCTTGGGCTAATGGCATGTAAAAAAACTTAAGTATTAAGCGAATTGGCCAATTACGGCATAATAATTATAATTATATTACGTAATTATAATCAGGAAATTCACTCTTGTAATGGACTACTATGTTATTGATGATACAACCACATACATATGACAGCTACGACTTTTTTTGTTGCTAGAGCAACGAAAAGCTGGTACCGAAAAAGACTATATAATTTGTGACAAGATTAGAAACTATTTTTCTCTAATTTTTGCTTCGATCGTTGACGGGTCACACTAAGGTTCTTCATTTTCTGGCTAATTTGTGTTTTAAATTGATGATAATGCAAACGTTATGTTTTTCTATCCATGGTTAATCATTAAACCGATGGTTTTGACAAACTTTCAAAGTTTAATGATTAACCATGAATAAAAAAACATAATTGTTACATTATTATTAAGTTAAGCCTAAATTTAGTAAGTTTAACCAGAAAATGAAAAACCGGGCCTAAGAGAAGGATATTCGAGAATTCTCAAGAGCTTAAGACTACATGTGGAAATTCTTGATAATGTCTGTGTTCGATTCACTCGATATTGCTTGAGTCTCTGTTAACAAGTTCTGCATGTCTCGGCTTTAACTCGAAGAGAGCAGCAGTCTGATGTCAGAATCTGGGTTAAATACTCGCGATAGGGCGGGAGTCGACGAACGGGTCCGTTGCGATACTTGGTATAATCTCATGTTTACGCGACTTTCGTAATATATGACCAGCCCGTTCTCTTTTTACTTCCTCTCCGGTTATTTTGATCGTCTAACGGCTGTCGGCTGGATCGAACGAGCTCGTGATCGGGTTTAATCTTAGTGTTTATGTCGTCGGTGATGGTGGTAGTTGGTGACTATAATTGCATAGCGAAATAATTATCATCAGAAAACCTACTCTAATATAGTGTGTTATCGGTAGCGATATGGTTGCTGCCATTTGTTGCTAGAATAACGAGAAGCTGGCGTCGAAAGTGACCGTAATTTATATATTTGTAGATTAGCACTTTATTTCTCTCGAATTTCTACTCCGGTCGCTAACGAATCTCTCGTACATTGCGACAAAAATATTGCATATTTGTAACTGTACACATAGCTATAAAACATAAAAAGAATTATTATCAGAACTATTTTTCTAATAAATGTTACTATAGTGTCAGTCATTGGTTGCTGAGTGGAAAAAACCGACTTGTATGTGTTCGTATAAGTTGGAACAACGTTCAACGTTTGAAGTCAGAATCCCCTCTACGTTTGAATGAAATATTCATTCTCGCGATTCCGAGTGGCAGTAATTTCACTATCGCTCTGAATGAATTTTTCTTATTTAGGGTAAGACTTTACTACAAGAAATTTAGAGAGAATATTCTCGTAAATGTATTGAGGGGGAGGGGGGGATCGATGAATTTTCGGAAATAAATTGGAAAATGTACGTATTTTATTCTTCTTGATACATGTTTCTTGAAGATTGGAGTTAGTTCCACTTGCATCTTGGACTGTTCACGTGACATCGAGTGACGTAACGTGGAATAACGTGACGTGTAACTACTGAGCGATTGTTGTTGCGCAACGCGACGGCGAAACCGACGGCCTCAAACGGCGTTACAATGTGATAATTTATCGTGCCTCGTAAATTCGACGATTCAAGAATACGACGCGAGTGAAACATTTTTCGTGATTATCCAAATCTCGCGCAGTTCATATTCATAGGAACGCGTTTGCCATTTATCTAGTATCTCATTAGGTAACGCGCTTCATCAGAGTATTCTATGAATATTTAATGACATGGTATAGGAATCGAGATGTGGGGGTTGTGTTCGTAGTTTTCGCCGTATATCAAGCGAAAATATGATCCGCATGGTCGAACGCAAGACATCCTGAAGCGTCCTTTCGAGTTGAGAAATCCTTCAGTCCGTTTCACTCTCGATAGGCGAGTCGGTTATTCGCTCTTTTAATTTTTTATTAAATAAAGGTAAATTTTATCAATTAAATTAACAATTAATTGTTTGAATGTAATTAATTGATTTTTCTGGTCGCGTGCTTGTAGAAAATAATTGGAGAGTTAAATTAGAAGAGGTATATTAGAAAATAATTAAGAAGAGAGAGAGAGGGAATACAAATTTTTAAGAAGAAATTTTCGTGTGCATCTATTTGCGAAATGGTTTGAACACATTTTTCTGTTTTGCAAACGAATATACAAGACTTTTGGCTCTCTCGTCTTCGCATTTTTCGTTTCTCAAGTTTCAGGATCTTCTCGGAAAGTCTCGGGACCGAAGGCTACCCTGAAAATCGCCGATCCAGAAGAAAAGCTAGGAATAATTTCGAAGACGTTCATCTTTAACTATAGAAACATCCATGGACCCGCTGTCAGTCGAGTTTTTCATTGAAAAAATAGGTGCAGGTCATTAGAAATACCGACTTCTGCTTTATGACATCGATTTCGAAAGTCACGTGCGGAGATCCAGGAGTGAAACAAATCTCACGCCACCCTTCGCCCGGCTATTCATGTCACTTTGTATTTGCGAAGGCGGCAGATCCTTCATGCCTCTCATCAATTTTTATACTGACCTATCCGATGCAAAGGAATAAGGTGAAGCATTTGAATTTCA